ATTCCTCTGGAGACGCTCACCTGTATCTGACACTAGTGGTATCGCGTAGCTTCCATTAATGTCCAAATTTCAGTGAAAACAGAAATAGAATACAGATAAAGGCAACACACCATCCAGCTTCACACCTGGACACATAATTACCCCAATGGGTTGTGGTGAGGGATCATATCCTGGCACGCAGTGGGAGGTTAGTGGCGATAAGCTTCAGCCCAGCTCCCAACATGGAGCATAATTACTCCATTGATAATTCACCAGGAAAATGGTCCCAGCCAATTGCAGAGCTCCGATATAATGGATTGGACGATGAAACGAGGGATGAATGAAGGAAGGAGGCTGTGAGGGGGAGTGCGCATGTGGGTGGGTTACACGTGAGGGCACCCAGCAAGGGCCTTTTATTAGAAATGAAAATATGTTTAGGTCATAGGGGGACCCATTTTCCCTGGAGATAATAAAGCCAATAAAATGTAAAGCAGGGGAAGAGCTTGGAATGGGGTCCAACTGTGGTTATTTATCTGTGTGTGTCCTGTATTAGCCCATTTATTCCCAGCCTCAAATTAGCTAATCATTCTCCAAGGGGAAGGACTTGGTCAGAAAATTGACATTTAGCAGCATAGGCTCACTCTATTAACTACAGTAAATTTAATTTGCTGCACACCCCAGAAGTGGGCTGTTTTCTTTGCCATCCGAAAGAGAACAGGAAGGCAGACGAAGTAAAGAGATGGGTAAAGAAATAATGTTTATTGCATCTTTTGCTTCTAGAGTTAATTTGCTTGGCTGTCAATATGGAACATAGAATTGTAACGTTACAGTTATGGTGCATTTTTCCTCGTGTACAGCTGATTAAAAAGATACGTATATGTCAACACATAGTTTCTTTCAAGTTGAGTCTGGATTGAATTATTGTTTTATTGTCTTTGGTGTTTCCAAAATTCTCATGGGTTTTCTTTTTGTAAGTAAATGTCTGTCCTTGGAACACTTTTTCACATATATCTCTGAATCAGGTATCAGTATTTCCCCTACCATTATCCAAGGAGGGTGCCCTGCCAACAAAACCGAGTGCCCTGCCTGCGAAATTGCCCCCCTGGAACTGACGGCACTGACGTAGCGCTAAGCTAGCGGAACGCAATACAGATGTGCTAAAAGGCTATAGTGCTCCATTTCCTTCACGGTGAGCAGTTTCCTTCAACCCCCACCACACGGTCGATAACTATAGGCACAAACAGCGCGCAACACAGATGTGTCTCCATCTCCACCCTCCACTCCCTGTCAACAAAAATCATGGAAGAGATGAGCACCCTGCTAAGGCACGTGACCTAGGGGAAACACTGGATATGTAAATGGACTGTACTTATACAGCGCCTTTCTATCTTATTTCAAGATACTCAAAGCACTTTACACTACAATCTGTGTCCTCATTTACCCATGCATACAGCTCTCTACTAGATCTCTACAAAGCTAATTGAACAAATCATTCTAAAGAGACTAATCAGAGCTTTAGATCACATTCATTCACCGATGGGACACACATCAGAGGCTATGAGGGGTTCAGTGTCTTGCCCAGGGACACTTCAGCATGTGACTGCTGGTGGATTCGAACCCCCAACTCTCGCATTAGAGGACGACTGCTCTAACCACTCAGCCACAGCTGCCCATATGTGAACATAATCTTTTAAATATTTATGTATTATAATTGTTTTAAGTGGCTGCCACAATGTAAGCTCTGCAAAATTCAATGAGACTGTACTTGCAAAAATTGTACTTATAAAAAGCAAATGTGTTTTACTTGTACAAATTATACTACAGATCATGTAAAGCATCAAAACTACTGTGATACTTAAGTCATTTAATCTACTTTATCAACAAAAACATAATTTGCAGCAGTAGTCGAAGTCAAAGTTTCTTTATTTGTCATACGCACCACATGTGGTACATGCGGTGGAACAAAATTGTGTACACAGGGTTCCAGTTACATCCAACAAAAGTAGAAAATGTAAAAGAAAAACATTAATAAGATCTAAGATATGAACTAAGAAAAACGTTCACTAAAAATATGCTAGGCACTAGTATTACAAAAAACAATACGCCGAACAGCATCACGTAGGAGTAATATGCTGCAACTATCTGTATCTGTAACCGTACCTCAGTGACTTTTGGTTGTACTGTGAGGTCTCCTCCTTTTGGACTTTTTCAGAAAACCTTCTTTTACTCTGTCTCTAAGGCCGAGCTTGGGCACTCCAAAAAGAAAGTTTATTGTAGCCTCTTGTATCCAAGATCTTGTTCTTTTGGTTATGATGCAATTTTTTTGGCTGGTTGAAACATAAAAGAATTAGTGACTTTAGAATTTTGCTTTTTAACTGAACTCATTTACAGCAACGGGTCAAAGCAATGCCTTCTTTACTGCAGATGAAGCCCTGTTCCAACTGTCCATCTTTCGTACAACCCTGCCATCACTTGTGAATAAAACTCCAAGATACTTGAACTTGTCCACTTAAAGCAAAGACTCAGAGCCAACTTGTAGAAAGCATTTCACCATTTTCTGACTGAGAACTATGGCTTTAGACTTGAGCTGACTCTGATTTCAGCTATTTCTCACTTAGCTGCAGAGCACTCCACAGGGGACTGAAAGTCACATTTTAAGACACCAGCAGAATCAGGATCTCAGTGAATACCCCGTAAGGGACCTTGTTAATGAACACCACAAACAGGATCACAGACGAAGAGAAACCCTGGTGCAGTTCAACTTGCACCTAGAACAAGTTAAACTTTGGTTGAGATTGTGGACATAGCTCTTGCTTTGATACACTAATCCATAAAAGAGATCCAAGCATCTTATACTCCACTGACACCCTCCACAAAATGCCTCAGGGAACATGGTTATAAAAATTTTCCAGATCCTCAAAACACTTGTGGACTGTGCTGTTGAGCTCCTATGACCCACTCATCAAGGATTAAGATTGGGTTCCCAGCCCCACCTTTCAGTATCAAAGCTACACATTTTTTCATACATGAAATCCCAGATACAGTGGTACGTACCACTTTTGCACCTTCAAAATAACTGACTAACTCCTCCTAGAGGTTCACAAACTTTTGCCACTCACAAATATGTAATATTGGAACATTTTTCTCAATAAATACATGACCAAGTAAAACATTTTTATCTCATTTGTTTAAATGGGCTCTCTTTATCTACTTTTGGTACTTGTGTGAAAATCTGATGATGCTTTAGGTCATATTTATGCAGAAAATTCTAAAAGGTTCACAAACTCAAGCACCACTGTATGCAGCTGTCCTCGCATCAGAAACTGGCTTGACTATTTGTGACACCTCATAAACATTTATTTGTTCTGTAAGTTGTACATTTTATCACCAATTTCCTTTTTGGATTGGCCTTTCAAGTGCCCCCTTTTTATATTTTATTATAATTTTGCAATTTAAGTATACATTTCAACCTCAATGTTTAAAATATATTAGTTTTGAAATATCTCAAAGGTGTTAGTCATTTTATGACTTCAAATTAAACGTATGTTATTTGTCAGTTGCACCTTAATGACGTTGAAAAAAAACCCCAACAACCTTTTTTTCTATTCTTTTCCTTTTGACTGAGATTCCCTTATGGAGAGACTCTGGCATGGTGCAGTGACTCTCCGGTGATCAGGATCGCCCAAGCCTAATTGATTGCAACAGTTGTCGGAGTGTTGTCTGTTAGGTTGGTGACAGGTGTCTGAAGAAAATGATTAGTTTTCTGTTGGGAGAGAGACAGCTTTGGATGTCCCAAACTGCAAACTAATAAAGGGGGGAAAGCAATAAAGCTCATGGACAGCAGGTTTGACTGTTTTTATAGACAAATCAATAAAATGATAGATGATGGAAAATAACGGCATCTCAGCTGCTGATTTCTACTGGGGCTACAAATCATGCCCCCCTCCCCTCATACACACACATGCTTGTCACACACAAAATGCAGTCACACATGCACACACGTTTGTAGAGCATGTTGGTATCATGTGCTGTGACACGTAACTGGGTTAAAAAGATGAGTAGAGCACGTTGAGAAACAAGTTACTCTTTGAATGTACTTTTTCTTGTTGTTTAAATCTGAGTGCTAATGTTTGTGTGTCATAGCTAGCAAAGTAAATCTTCCACTGTAAATCTTTTGGAGACCAGAAGGGCAGTGTCAGGATCAATACAGAGGACAGGTCTTCCTCAGAGCCAACCTCTAATTGGCTCAATTTCTTCTGTGCGTGTGTGTGTGTGTTTTATGGTGTATTGGTTTGTATATAACTATTATTACGTCCAATGAAAGATGAACCTTTCTACTCCTGGGAAATTTAATCACAGTGATTTATTTTTTATTTTTTTTGGTTTACAGGATGCAAACATTGTTTTTATGTTATGATTTAAAGTCACAAAGTTATTCTTGTCTGTCTTTGCCTTTTAAGTCCATCCCTTTAAAAATGAGTTTGCATGATACTTGGAAAAAATGAATATGCTTTTACTGTAAATGTTCTGTTTTGTCTTTTTATTCTTACTTAAAACTAGAGGTTTTGTAAGGGCTGGCTCCTGCTTGTTGTGACATTTTAAATAGTATCTTACAATAAATAAATAAATAATTAGCTGTACGCAAAAATGTAGTTTCCTTAGAGCTGGATTCTCTAATCCTGGCCCTCGAGTGCCATTACCCTGCAAATTGTACTTGTTTCCCTGCTCTGACACGCCTGTGTTGGAGCAGAGAAAACTCTAAAACATACAGGAAAGTGGCCCTCAAGGACCAGGATTGGACACCCCTGCCTTGGAGGGATCATTGCACTTACTGTTAATATTTCTGTTTCTATTACTGTTGCCATCCATTTTCACAAGAGACCGTTGAACAAAAAAATACTTTGGTAAAAAGAAGGTAGACACGATTGAAAAATCTAACTAAGTTGTATTTACAGAAAAATTACATTTCATAAACAATTCAAAAGCTGCAATCTTCGTCTTGTCACCTCCTTTTTTTGTAGGAGGTCTCGCAGTGGAAGTGGAAGTCGTAGCCGTCGAACAAGCCGCAGCCACAAAAGGAGCCGCAGCAGAGAGCGGGACAGGAGCCGTCGTAAGGGCCGAGGTCGAGAGAGGGAGAAAGAAAAGGACAGGGGAAAAGACAAGGACAGGAGCAAAGACAAGTCGGAGAAGAAGGGGTAAGTGATAAGTTTATCACCGTACCTACTGCACAGAACAGAACATGTTAGTTGGTGTTATACACCAAATCTGGAGCCCAGTGTCAGTTTCTCCATCCACCCATCCATCACTCAGCCCTTCCATCCATCACTCTATCATCTCCTTTTTTTTCTTCTCTGCAATCAAGCATTGTAATGTCATACAGTTCCCTGCTGAAAGAAAAGAATTGTCATAGTGGGATACAAATAGATGGTCAGTGCATGCAGGTTCAGATTGTGGTAATGTTTCGGTCGCCAGACGATGTCTGATTTATTTCCTCCCTTTGGATTCGGTTGCAATAAGTCCTGAAACATAACAAGATCTTATACACCTTCAGTGTCTTTGTTGCCCATGCAAGGAAACAAAAAACAACTTATCGAAGAAAGAAAAGTTGGCTCTCTTATCTGCAAGTTTGTGGCCTATAATGACTGGGGTCAGGTTAAGTCAGGTGGATACTTAACAGTTGTATACTCTGGTGCAGTTATAACTTCCTTAGTGGCCTTTCTTTGCTTATATCAGAATAGCATTCTCCATCCGTTCCCAAGACATAATTCTCTAAAGTTATGGGAGGCTACTTTAATACTACTGGCACCCAGTTGGTGTTTGTCATACAAAATAGCACAGATGTACATATCCAAGCCTGGATCCCAAGGGTGATGCAGGCCAACCACTGTTCTGCGCATCTTTTTGAGAGACTTACGACCACTGGGTGAACTGAATCCACACCCGTTCTTTACTGCTTTAGTCTAAGGTTTTCTTCCAATCATTGGTTAGAATTTAATTGTTAAAATTAAACCACTGAAACTCTGAAAGTTATTTGGTGAATCAAAATGCTAAAAAAAAAGAGGCTTCTTCCAGTTTTCAAATGGGACGAACTTAAAAGGGGGATTCATCTGAACTTTGTAGTTGGCCAAAATGAACAGTTAAAATATAGTACAGATTTTTTTTGGCAGAGAGTTGCAGTGATTGCTTTATTTTTATATTTAACAAAATAAATAATTGACTAAATCAAAGAGTAAGCAGCAGAATAATTTTTTAAAGTATAAACTTGTCAGGATTTGTTTATTAAATATTAACATATTAATTTAGTTGTTGCTTGAGAAGGACTTAGCAGAAATAGTTAAGGGTTTCAATAAAAAAAAATCAAGTATTTGATTAAAAATGCTACAATATCAGCATTTAAATGTGTGATTTTATGATGATTAACTAGAAGCACTCTGAAAGTTCACTCCTCTGCCAAGACCCTGTTTTTGGTAGCACTGGTTTGTCTGCGCACAAGATAAAGAAAACTTATTAACAGATTTCACAACATTTTTAGGAAATTTTGAGGTTGTCACAAAGAACAAATGATTAAATTTTGGTGATCTGGATCACCATCCAGATCCAGGATTTCTTTAAGGATTCTTGTCTGTCTGTGCACAAGATGTTACCAAGTGACCCTACGGTCTTGTAGGAGGTGTGTGCGCTCAAGAGTGCTTAGTTGTGTGAATGCTCATGAAACATTCACACTATTGTGATCCATTTTTCTTCTGTACATTTTTCGGTGTGATTCTCGTGCCGCAGTTTTCAAGCCATTTCAACAAATTGCAAATCAAAAGTTAAGAAAAAATGTGTTATTTCTGCTTTCTTCTGCTCATTTAGGCTTGTTCTTCCATTTCAGCTACATTTCAGCACGTGTTTAGCTAATTTCAGCTGTTTTTCTACAAGTTCTTCAGCAATAAGCATTCACACTGCATTTTTGCAGGACATGCAATTTCTCTTAGTTGTTTTTAGAATAACACAAGTTGAATGTGTTTTAGAATATACAAAATGGAAATATGGACTAAAATACAATCCAAAAAATTTAAATGTAAGGATGTGGAGATGTTTCTGAATCTGTTTTTTCTGGTAAAAAACCCCCCAAAAAACTGTAAGAAAATAGTCAGTATTAATGGTTTTATCAATAAAGCCCCATCTGTTAATACCTCAAGGCTTCAGTTTTCTTTAAGCAAACAGAGCATGGAGATTTACTTTAAAAGCAAAAGTGTTCAATTTATTTTAAGTTATTGCCTTTCTTAGATCACTATCAGGAAAACAAATAAAGCTAACAGTGAAACGTAAGGCTAGCAGACTATATCTATTTTCTTATTAGGGCTTCAATATCCTTTAGCATTGATAGGAATCTTTTTTGTCTTTATCTCTGACCCTGCTTTAGCTGGTCTGTGTGCTTTTCTGTCTGTCGGTTTGTGTGTTTGCATTTCCACCAGTGGCAATGTTCGTACATTTCAAACTGTACTGTAGTCCCGTTTTCCATTTTCATTAAACCTTTATAGATTGGATAGTTTTGATAAAACCATGTGCCTCTGAGCAACCATGTGGAGTTTCTTAAATCTGTTAAGTAAAACTTTTACACCGAACTCCTCATATTGCCAGATCGTTGGCATGAAGCCTTCGGCAGTGGACTGTAATGCCACACGCTGCATATTTTCAGGCTGTTCTTTGGGTGCACATTCTTAATCCGACTGAGATCTGACCAAGCTTGAACGAAGACTCATTGTGTTGTGTTCCAATACAGTTTCTTAAATTTATTTTTACAAAAATTATTGTCACTTGACTGTACTAAGATAGTTGCAGGTAAATGAGCACGTTAGGGCACAATAACTTAAACACAATCAACTTTTTATACTTTATTTTTTGCTATTTTTGCTATTTTTGGGTGCAACTGGGACCTTGAGTACACAATTTTGTTCCATCTCATGCACCACATTTGATGCAATTGACAGTCCCCCCACTACCTTAGCTAAACTGGACCCCATTTACCATGCTGCTCTGAGGTATATAACAGGTTCACCCTTTAGGACTCACCATTGTACTTTATATACCCTTGCTGGACTTACTTCACTCAATATTCGAAGGATGAAGCATTGGTGTATTTTCATATACAAAGCCATTTTAGGAAAATTACCATCATTTATCAACTCCAAGTTCATTTCACTCCAGAACACACACAGTCTCAGGACCAGTAGCTGACTGCAGTTTAAGGTGCCCTTTGTGCACACAGTCAGCAAAAAATACTTTGTCCTATGTTGGCCCATGGTCTTGGAATGAACTGCAGTTTAAGAGATTAATAATCTCAATGGATTTCTTTCTGGTAAAATAAAATAAAGTAAGTAAGGTAAGGTAAAATAAAGGTTTAAATAAAATAAAGAACCTTGAATCTTGAACAACATTACTAGAAAATCAGTAAATACAGTCTTCTGCAGGAAATCAGAAATAGATGATAAATTAGATGTTAAGTCTACGTATTCAAATTTTTTTTAAAATCTAAAACCTGTTTGATAATTGGTTTTATTGTTATTCCTCAGTTGCTTTTAGTGGAGCATGGGTGTTTAGCAGAAGATAAAAAGAAGCAGAAATATTATTTTCAGGAGCATTTTCTTTTATTATTTACTTGTTTTAATGGTGACAGGGACAGGGTCTATCCATTTAACATTTGTAGCCAAAAACATGCAATTACACACATTTCTAACACTCCAAATTCATTTACATCCAGGTTTTCTCGCTGGATGAAGGAAGGGGAGCAGTGTGATGCTGATGGCAGGGCGGGGTAAAGAAGAGGCTCGGGAGCTTTATAGTGCCTGTCAGGATGAAAGAGGGGCCCCTCAGAGCAGCACCCTGACACTGACTCTGTGTGTGCGCACATGTTTGGTGTTGTTGTCATTAAACATTTAAGACTCTTCTAGTGTGACAGCAGGCAACTTGGTGCTCCAGCGGCATGTTTTCATGCAAAATTTATTGAAAAAGACGTGCTGTTGTTAAGAGATCTTGTTGCCTTTCACTAGTGGCAAAGGGTAAGTGGGTGATTGTAGGGCTCTCTCTCTCTCTCTTTGTGTGTGTGTGTGTGTGTGTAGGCTGGTTTGTGAGCAGTCTATAGACCAGATTTACACACACAAAAAATCATCTATTTCTACTTACAGAAAAAGGAAAGAAAAATATTTTTTAAATGTTTTGCAGAATAATTTTGTTTATTTTTTCCTCTACAGTGTCTGTTAAAAAAATTCTGTGTGTGTTATCTGTTCCTGACTGAGCTGAACATACCCCTGACTTTCTGACATACATTTGTAGCTTCATTAGATGTGATTCCAATAAAAATCTAATAAACATTTGTAAGAAACCGAATGTAATTAGAACGTTGCTTTCAGTGTAACACTAATGTTTGGTATTATTTAATTCTGTAGTGGCTCTGGCTTTATTCAAGCTTGAAGAAATTTGATTATGCTGTGAATAGGAAAATTGTGATACATATACATGTGCGTCTACAAAAAATAGAATATTGTGGAGAAAGTTAAATTTTTTGTCAATCAATTCAGAAAGTGGAACTCATATATTATATAGATTTATTACACATAGAGTGAAATATTTCAGTATTTATTTCTTGAAATTTTGATGATTATGACCAATAAATAATGGAAAAAATAAAATTCAGTCTCAAAAAAATGAAAAAATGCAAAGAGTTTCAATATTGTAAACTCATGGTGTCACACCCTGATCAGCTGATTAACTCCTAGACATGAGCTACAAATGTCCCATTCCTCAAGTCAAGCCACTCCTGAATAGATTTGCATTCAGCCCCAAAATATCCAACCTGACCTGGCCCCAGCCCGTAGCCATAATTTCTGAACCCCACTCGACTTGACGAATCAGCAGTAATTACAGGTCCGAACCCCCCCCCCCCCCCGGACATTTTAAATTGAGCTTTGACTACTTATATAGTTCTTAACGGTCGACGGACACGCACGGCTGAATAAAAATTTGCAGAAGATGGGAGCTGAGGGGGTATTTGTCCTTTCATGGTCGTCAAATCACATTAAATCCTTGCTGCTGCCTGCATTCTGCATTATTCAGACACGGACCCTGCTCTGACATGTCTGCAGGATATTTTGGGATCTCACCTGTTTGGGTCATCAGCCACGTGTGTCCCCTGAGTGCAGTGACTAAATGA